ATTTCCTCTTATATTACAGTGGCCGGGAATCCACATGAAGGATATTTGTTTACCGGCGAAGGTAGCGGTGGAATGAGCATTATGTATTTTTCTTGCTAAGTCAGTAGGTTTCCACTGGTTCTGGATACTCATGAGAGAGGAAAGGGAGTCGCTAAGGATAATGATTTGTTTGGCTTCAACTTTGTTTGTTGCAAACTCAATAGCTTTTAGGATGGCTAGTGCTTCAGCTGTGTAAATGGAGCATTTGTTTGATAGTTTCCATTGGATATGTGTATCCCCGTGAATGATGGCCATTCCAACCCGATTTACCACGACAGAGGCATCCGTGTATATAAGTGCGTGTTGCTGTTTAGATGAAAGTATTTCCGTGAAGAGATTCCTGTATTGAGTGGAGCTGGTATATTTCTTGGGGAGTTGGTGTAAGTCCAGGATAATGTTCATCGAGATAAGCCACGGAGGGGATATGCTGATTTCAGTAGTCATTATGTTATCTAAATCATATTTTTTATAATTGTTGAAAATGTGGTTAGGGGAGGAATGAAGACCTTGGGGGGAGCGGGCCATTCTGGCTGCGGTTTTGGATGTTAGTTCAGACCATCTTATGTCCAATGGTGGAATGCCGGCAATGCTGAGTATGCTACTGATCGGGCTTGATCTGAACGCAACAATGGAGAGTCGGATCCCTGCGTTATGTATTGATTCCAGTGTTCTAAGGTGAGATGGTTTGGCGGCGGATATTAGAGAAGCTCCGTAATCTATTTTTGAAAGGATGAGTGTTTTGTGGATTTTCAGTAGCATTTGGGTTTGTGCTCCCCACGCTGTATGGGAAAGTGTTTTTATCAGATTAATTCTAGAAAGACATGATTTTCGTATGTGTTGTATGTATGGGCGCCATGAAGCTTTAGAATCGAGGATTACCCCAAGGATTTTGACTTGAGTTTGGTTCTTGATGGTGTGGTTACCCATTTTTATTGCTATGTTTTCCTTTTTTCTTTTCTGGTTGATGAGTATGAGGCTAGTTTTGTTCGACGCAAATCGAAAACCCGCTGTTTTTGACCAGGATTCAAGTTTGTTGGTCGAATCTTGTAGCATTTGTTGAATAGTGTTGCTGTTGGAGCTGCGACATAGGATATTGAAATCGTCAGCATATAAAAGAGGGATGTTGGGGTTGCGTATTCCTTCGGAAATATCATTGATGGCTATTAGGAATAGCGTCACTGAAATGGTGGAACCTTGTGGTACACCGTTCTCTTGTGTAAATATGTCGGATAGGGTGTTTGAGGTTTTAACCTGAAACGTCCGGGTGCCGAGGAAGTTATTTATGAAGTCTAACATGTTACCTTTAGTTAGAATTTTGTTGAGCTTGTGGATTATTCTGGGTCTCCAAGCTGAGTCATATGCCTTAGCAATGTCAAAACTGATCAATCCTAAACTTTGATTATACTTTAGAGCTGTTTGGATTTCATTTTTAATGTTTAAAATATTCTTAGTAGTGCTTCGATCGCGTCTGAAACCGTTTTGTTCGGGAGTGAGATAGTTAGATTTTTCCAGGTGCCACATTAGACGATTGTTAATCATTTTCTCGAGTAATTTACATAGCGTATTTAAAAGACATATAGGGCGGTAGCTATCAGGTAAAAACTTGTTTTTGTCGGGTTTTAAAATAGGGATGACGAGGCCATGTCTCCATGTGTTGGGGAAACAATTATTGTTCCAAATTGAATTGTATATTGATAGTAAATGGGTCCTTGCGTTCGCTGGGAGGTTTTGTACAAATAGGTAGGGGATTCCGTCAGGGCCGGGGCTTTTGCTTTTGCAATTACGGAGAGCTTCCTCCAATTCTGTGATGAGTAGAGGTGAGTTGAGGTAGGTTTGAACATTATTATGGGGATCTACTGTGTTCGATGGGTTGTTGTATATGTTTGCCTTGGATAAGAATTCCTGATCGTAGATGGATTTACTAGAATTCTCTTGAAACATTTGTCCCAGGGTGTTGGCGACTTCTTTAGGAGATGTTGTGATGTTAGAGTCCGTGAGGAAGTGGATATTGTTTCTGTTGGTACCTCTAATAGATTTGATTTTTTTCCATACAATTGAGGAGTCAGTTTGGTTATCGATGCTGGACACATATAGTTTCCACGATAAAGATTTGCTGCTCTTAACCAGATATCTGGTTAGGGCTCTTGTCCTTTTTAAACTGATGAAGTCCACTTGCGATCGGGAGATTTGGAATTTCTTGAGAGCTTTATTTTTGTTTTGGATAGCTTTTTTTATTTCTTCATTCCACCATGGGACGCGAGGTCTTGGGGAGCTGCTCTTAGACTTACCTATTGTGATTAAGGCTGCTTCTGTTATAATGTCAGTAAATTCTTTTACGTCTGCATCTATATTTTCTGGTGATGGGGTGGGGAGGCTTTCGGTTTTTTTTCCTATTAGAGATGAGAAAAGATCCCAATTGGCTTTCCTGATAGACCATCTAGATGGATAAACTAGGTGTGTGTCGTCAAGTGGGTGGTTGATGGATATTTGAATGGGGATGTGATCACTGCTATTGATGGTATAAGGTAGAGTGCACCACTCTAATTTATGCGCGAGAGAAGTGTTTGCGATGGAGAGGTCAATTGCGGATGAGAGTTCGTTGATAGGGTTGATTCTTGTGGGTTGTCCGTTGTTGAGAAGCATTAGATTTTCGTTATTAAGTAATTCATCGATGATTTTCCCTCTGCGATCCGATTTGTAGGATCCCCAGGTCTCGCTGTGACTATTGAAATCGCCAACTATAATGAACGAATTGGGCAGTTGTTTTATGATACGTTCGATGTCATCTAGGCAGAAATCTCTGTTGTTTGGGATATATATGTTACATATGGTTAGTTTTGTATGAGGCAGATTGACTGAAACGGCTATTGCTTCGAAATCAGTGATTAAAGGGAGTTCGACACTGGGGAAATCTTTGTTGATCATTATTGCGACGCCACCGCTGGCTCTGATACACGAGAAGCGATTGCGTTTATAGATATCATAGTGCGTAAATTTGGGATTGCTTTTCTCGTTAAAATTGGTTTCTTGAATGCATATTATTGCGGGGTTCAGTTCTTTGGTTAGTATCTGGAGCTCTTCAAGTCTACTGAAGAACCCGTTGATGTTCCATTGAATTATATTTGTTTTCATTTGAATTGTATAGGAGGTTTGAAGGTGCTTGATGTGAAAAATGATAAATCTGAGGGTGACATTTGTGGCGTTTTGAAGCAGGTGTTTCATGAATCTTGAGGTGGAGATGCTTGGAACAGTAGATTGCCGAGCTTGGTGAGGTGTGTTTTGAGGAAGGTTTTGGTGATTTTGGGACGGATTTCGTCAATGAGTTTCATGATTGATGGGATGTCTGAGTCAATCTCTTTACAAAGGTTATGAATATTAATGTTTTTATTAGTGTAGTTTTCTAAGACATGCTTAAACTGGAGCATTGTCACGTCAGTGTTGAGGAAAATTTCCTCTGCGGATGTGAGACACTCAAGGATTTTGTCTTCTTTTCTGGATGATGAATTTGATCTGGAGCGAACCTTAACTTTTTTTTGTATTTTTTTTGTGGTGTCGCTATGTTGGTTGGGTAGTGTTGAGATTGAGTTGTTGAAGGTAATGTTATTAGCTTCCTGGGAGGATGAATCGGATAGGTGCCTCTTAGGGGGTTTTCCGTCTTCGGATGGGTGTCTTTGCTGTTGGGGGGTGGAGGGGAGAGGACCATGAGAGTGTTCCAATGACGGAGGGGAAGGATTGGGGGGAGATGAATTTGTATTTGTATTATCTCCAGGGATGTTTTCGGTTTGATGTCCGGTCGCCAAGTCCGTGTTGTTTTGAGATTGTATTTCGTTTATTGAAGGGCTTTCAGGCATCAGCATGTCCTCGAATAGACTTTCGTCGATAGTGTTGTTTTGGTTATGACTTGATAAGGGGGACCTGTGTATTTGTGGACTTATAAAATTGTCTGTGGCAATTTGTTTGTTGCATGATTTAGATGTGTGACCTGTTGATTTGCAAATAAAGCAAGTGATTGTTTCATCAGTAAGGAATATTCTGAATTGAGTTTGATTGTTAATGATAGTTAAGGATCCAGGAAGTTTTATTACATCTTCATGGTTGATGAACATTTGTCGACGAAAGCTAAGAATGTGTTCATAACCCTCATGATTTATTCCAGCTCTTATGTAGCTTATCTGGGATAATGGTGTAATATTTATGTTTTTTAATGCATTAAGAATTGATTGGTTAGGTATTGAGGGACATACGTTGGATATTATTATTTTTTTTGCTGGGTTAATGAGTCTGCGTATTTGTATAATGTGTTCGTTTACTGTGATTGTATTATTTTTTTCTAAAAGTGTTTCTAGTATTTCCTTACTAGAGAGAAATATGCAGAAACGATTGTTTGATATTCTTGATGTGTAGATAATGTGTTTTGGCGATACGATTTTTCCGATTGCCAGAATGTAATCTATTTGACGTATACCATCTATAGAATTAAATACTAATGCCTGTTCTCTGGTAGGTAGTTTATCGTTTGCTGTGACAGAGGCAAAACTAAATGTTTTATTTGGATAATTGGCCGAGTTATATTGATTATTTATGTGAGACGATTGTTGATCATATACTTTATCTGCGATTGTGTGCCGTGTCTCGGAATGGTCATTATCGCCGGATACGGCGGTAATTAGTGGCTTATCGGCTGCCTTGACGACGGTCACCTTCTTTGTTGCTAGAGGAGTGTGTTGGGTGATGGGAATGGTATGAGGTGTGCGCGGGGGACCGTTATTATTATTTTTATTTGGTACCGGTAATTTATTATTAGTGATGGTTGTATTAGTTAAACTCGTTGTTTTAGAGGTTTTAGAGATGTTGTTTTTTGTAGGTGGTTTGTTTGTAGGCGGAAAGCCCGTCCTGGGTATTCCGCTCATTTTGTTAATATTGATTGGCGTCTGATGTTATTGGTAAAAAATTAATTCATATTACCTTTTAATCAGTCGCCGGTGTGTTAATACTGCAATGCTATCGAGAGCTATAAAACGCACAATCGCGGAGATAACACACGTGTTGAACTGTCGGAGGTCTAACACGTACTGTTTTTTTTTTTTTTTTATTTTTTTTTTATTGTTCCATTCAAAACTGCATTTACTACATTTATAATATTCTATTACACTTTCCAGTCCTTTGCAGATTTTTTCATATGCCGTTGAAATACTTCCTGAACAGTTAATTGAAATCACATTATTGACTAGAGTTTCTGATGGGCAAATATTTTTAAGTAAATCAACACGTTCTAATTTAAAATTTTTTGAGTAGCCCTCGGTAATTAAATATTTTATAATACGGTAAATAACAACCGAATCAAATACAGTATCGACGTGCTTACTGTAATCTTGGCTATCAATATATGCACATGATATAGCTTGAATAATAGAGTCATATGGACAAGTATTTGTTAATATTATAGACTCACCATTTAATTTTGTCGTTTTTGTTTTATTTTCAAAATTTCCATTTTTTATTAATGCTATTTCAATTTTTTTTGTGTGTTCAATGTGCATTATTTCTGGATTTGGTGTTGCATAATAAGATGTTCTCTTCTTTTTTTTCTCGGCCAACCCCTTCCAGTTTTCATTGACTTTTGAAGGTGCAATATACACCATGTCAATAGTTTCAATGTTGTCACATTTTTCTTCTGAAAAAAATTCCGATAATACTACTGTTTTTTTTTTTAACATTTCTTCTTCGTCTGTATTTGGTTTAGATGTTTTGATTTCCACCTCATCAGGAATTTCAATTTTTTTTGGGTGTTCATTGTGCATAATATCTGGATTTGGTGCAGCATAATAAGATCTTCCCTTATTTTTCTCAGCCAACCCCTTCCAGTTTTCATTGACTTTTGAAGGTGCAATATACTCCATGTCAATAGTTTCAGTGTTGTCACATTTTTCTTTTGAAAAAAGTTCCGATAATACTACTGTTTTGTTTTTTAACATTTCTTCTTCGTTTGTATTTGGTTTAGATATTATGATTTCCGCCTCATCAGAAATTTCAATTTTTTTTGTAAATATTTGATCATGTTTTGCTATTTTCAACATTCCGTCTATTTCTTTGATGTGCTTACAAACAAATTTATCAACACGGAGAGGAAGATTGTCGTTATAAAAAGATCGGTTTTTTAAATCGTTGAAGTAGCTTTCTACAGAAGATGACGATGCCGTTAATTCAGTTATATTAAAATGTTTAATCATTATCGCTGACCATAATGGATATGTTCTCAGTAATTTGAGCAACGAAGTAGAAAAGTCAGGTAAATAATGGAAATACTCTTTTTCATAGATACAATTGCTTGACGAAATAACGTAATTTAACGTCGATTTTTCTTTTATGAAGTCAATCCATGTTTTTAAACACCCGTCTTCATTTTCGTCATTGGGAATGTCTTGGAACAAGATCAGGTCATCATCATCATCATCATCATCACTTACACAAATTTCATCCATTCCTGCTATTGATTGTTTCAAGTATAATTTTGCTGTTTCACTTGCAAGTTCATTATTTTTTTCATCGTGGCCTTCAAATATGCTATTTGACGTAATTAAAATACTTTCAATTAGGCCTTCAGCACTTTTTAAAGAAGTGCACATGATTAGTCTGGACATGAGTTTAAGATAGAATTTTTTCACAGTTGTTTCCTTTCCATTAAAACATTTCCAATTACTCAAAAATTTCATTACATGTGAATAATCGATCCGAATGAATGTTTTCACATTCATATTCGATTGAAAGGTTGCCACTGAAAATAACTTATCCATGTACGATTTCAAGTTGATTTCTCCTGCTAATGATCTTGCAATAGCTCCCAACAATGCCATTGAATGGTCACATACAATTATTTTTGGAATTTTGATATTAGCTGACCATTCTGATAACCAATGTGTTATTTGATTAATATTGTGACATTCCGACAACATTTGAGTTACGGGCAACTGGCCACTGATAGTTCCCGAATGTATAACACCTTGGTATAAAAATATGTGAGAAGATTTGTTTTTATTGGGTCGTTCTATTCTTTGACATATTGACCCAGTAGCATCAATGAATAGCTTGCTCATATTTTCATTTTTTACGTATTCATTAAATATTATAGTTTGAGCAGGTGTCCAATAAAATACATAAAATGGGTCTAATCCAATTTTATGAATAATTGTGTATAAATGTTCTTCATACTTCATGTTAAGTAATGAATCTAAGCCCGATAAATTCGGTGAAACATCTTTGAACTCGGTTTTTTCTTTAAATTCTTTTCTAGCCATCCTCAAGACTTCTAAAGAATAAAGACAACGATTAGATGAATACTCCGAAATGTTTTCTCTCCTCCAATTAACTGCTATTTTCCCATCACAAAGTCTTTTTGATATATCTTCTCTCTTTGGTCCAGACAATGGTCTTTTCTTAAGATAGGAATGTTTTTGCTCATTCACATCGTCCATTTTTAAATTTAATGTCACATTTTCAAAATGTTGAGGTTTTTTTGAGCACCAAACATTTATTGACGCTTTACATTCAACACAATAACCTTGACATTTGAAGTAACAGCCGAGATCAGTAGAATTTAATGCATGCCTTTTGAACATCCAAACACAAGATGTTTTCAGTTGTGACGTGATATGATCAAAAAAGACATGAGTCCAACCACTTTTCAAAGATGATTTATCAGGAGATAGCAAAGACGACCAAGTATTAAAATCAAGTACTAAAGTTTTTTCCGTGTTTAAATCATATGTATTTGACTGCTGTAAAGTCTGTGTGGTCGTAGAATCATCAGAGTCGTAACATTCTGAAAGAACTTCATTTTTATCGAGTTGTAAAATGTCATGACAATTGTAACGGTTATTTTGTATAATTAAATATAATCCGGATGGTGAAATTTTGTTGTCTAATCTCCCACATAGAGATTTCCATAGTGGATCAGTACTTTTGCCCAGAGCGTTGACAATTTCCGTCTTAAAAGTGTTTAGAAGTTTAAATAGTTCATCCTTGTCAATTTTAGACTTTCTCCCAGCCATCTAAAACACACATGAAGAAACTGAGCAAGAGTTTCACGGTATTGACAGGTTCAATTGGTTAGGAAATAATGAAATTTTTTTGCTTGGAATGTGATAGTGTCAAAATAGTAACAGTATTTTTTTGGGACTAATAGTATGGTATTTATTTTGTAAATGATATTTTTTGAATATAACCAATTCACAAACGAAATGACAAATTAAACATAGTAAAAACAAAAGTAAAATACATAGAACAATATGCAACACTCCCTGTAAGCATAGTTTGTATTAGGAGAGTTGAGTTCAATTTTATAAAGTTATCAATTATTTCATACGTTCTCGAAACAATACAACAAAAATAATAGAATTAATAAACTAAAGAAATAAGAGATACATAAATACTTGTTCAAATATTGCCAAAAACTAGGTTTTAAAGTAAAAACTTAAGTAAGTAAGCCAACTTTAATGTACTTATAAATGTATGACTTACATATTATAATTTTAAAATTTTTTTTTTAGCAATTATTTAGCATGTATTTGCAAGGCTGGTCCCGTAACTATATCGTAATCCGTTGGTTTGCAATACTCATTTATCTGATTTGCACGTGTCCCCAGCACCCCCACTTTGGGAAATACTTGGAAATTCAAAATCGTTTCTACGCCAATATTTAGCATGTAATTAGCATAAATTTGCACGACAGACCCCGAAATTCGCACTTGTCTGGTTCGCGCGCAAAACCCGTTCACCTATTTCGTGAAAAAAAATTAAATATAATAAAAAAATTATATTTGATAAAAAATCTGAAGTTAATTAAAAAACCTATTCCATAAAAAAAATTTGATTGAATAAAACAAATCTAACTAGAAATAAAAAAGTCTTAATAAAAAATTTGATTAAATATAGAATTTTAGATTCTGAGCGGAGCGATGAATGTATTGGTTTTACAATGATGTGTGTTTTTATATTTTTTTATTTTTATATTTTTATTTTTTTTTGTGTCTGTCATCACGTTTTGCGACTGTAAAAGTGCTTGAATTTTCTTCATCAGTAGCTTTTCTGATAGGAAAGTGAATCTAGTTGGTACTTTGGGGGGTCAAAAGTAAAAATTTCCCAGTAGTTTTCACAAGCGCCGGGAAAAACAACATAAAAATTAATGAAAAACGGGAATTTTTACGCAAAATTGGTTTTCCAAAAAATCGATTTTGATTATTGGTGTAACTCTAAAACAAATGAACGTATTCAAATTTAATACCATCCATTATACAGTGACCCACTTGTAACCTACTGTACAGCAGAGCGACACCCACTTGCCCACCTTTTTAAATTACTATTTAAATTTTTTTTTCTAATTATTTTATTATTAAAATATATTATAATATATTATTTTTTTTTAAATATAATTTTTTCATCAAACAGATGTTTATTATATACAGACTTTTTTATTTAATTTAGATTTTTTCAATAATTTTTCGAAAGTTAATGTAATAATTTTAAATATAATAAGAAATTTAAATTTGATAAAAAATCTATATTCAATGAAAAAAATCTAAACAAAATAGAACAAATAGAAATAGTCATAAAGTAATATTCTTAATAAAAAATATCTTTATATAATAAAAATCTGTTTGATGAAAAAATTATATTTAAAATAAAAAAAAATTTGTAAAAAAATCTAATTAGAAATTTAAAAATTCTATATTTAATCAGATTTTTTATTAAGACTTTTTTATTTCTATTTAGATTTGTTTTATTCAATCAAGTCTATTTATGGAGTAGGTTTTTTTATAAAATATAATTTTTTATTATATTAAATTTTTTTTTAAACATTTTTTATTTAATTTAGTTTTTTTCAATTGTTTTTTATTCTACATTGTTTTTTTGAATTGAAATACAAATTATGAAAAAATCTCTACCGAAAAAAATTTATATTTGATAAAAAAAACGTTGATTGAATATAATAAATCGAAAAAGAAATTTAAAAAAAAATTATTGAAAATCTAAATAGAATAAAAATAATCTGCATTAATTAAAAAAAACTAGTTTTGATAAAAAAAACTATATAATAAAAAATATTTTATCAAGATTTGTTTAATTTTTTCAATCCAATCAAGATTTTTTATTGAATATTGTTTTTTTTATTGAATTAAGATTTTTTCATAATTTGTATTTCAATAAAAAAAGACAAGTAGAATAAAAAAACTATAGTAAAAACACAAAATTTAATTTAAAAAAAGCTGTATTCACCTAATAAAAATGTAAATATAATAAAAAAGTCTATTTGTTAAAAAAACTTTGTTTTATAAAAAAATTTCAATCTAGATTTGTTTAATATTTTTAATTGAATCAAAATTTTTATTAAGTTCCTTTTTAGATTTGTTATATTCAATCGAGGTTTTTTTTTATCTAAAGTAAATCTTCTTCAGTATAGATGATAAAAATAAATAAAGACAACATTGTATTTTTACTATGAGGTGAATTATTTTTTTTTGAAGGGAAGGAAGATCGTGCGAATTTCAAAACCAGGCTTGCGAATTGGTGCGAATTACGTGCTAAATGCCTGCAGAAGAAAAATTGTGAAAATTTTAATTTTTTATGAGGGGGTTAATTTTTACTATGGGGTGATTTTTTTTTTCGAGGGGAAGGAATTACGTGCTAAATATTTGTATAGTTTGTTTATAGATTTTCTTTTTTTTTGGGGGGGGGGGGGCTGCCACTACGTACGTTGGTTTTTGTATGATTGAAATTGTATTTATTAATTCATTATTGTTTCATTTTAATTTGGTATATTTTTATAAAGAAATAGATTTTCTTATTCAACTAGGCATTTTTTTTCCGATAAAGTTTTAATTAATTCATTCAACATTTTTTTTATTTTCATTGGGTATATTTTATGAATTAGATTTTTTTATTAAATATACTAGGTTTGTTTAATTACTTGGGCTTTTTATTTTGAATTTTTTTATTGATTTAATATTTTTTATTCAACTAACATTTATAATAAAATAAAATTTATTTTTAAAGTATTGATTTTCTTCTATTAAAATTAGCTTGTTGTTTATAATATTATATTGTTATATATTAATGTATTATGCCATTATATAATACCTAGTACCTACCCAATGGCCCAAGTTGCCACTGGTTAATTAATAAAAAAAAAACCCTTAAGAGGAAATTGTTGTTGTATTTTTTAAATATTTAATATAATTGTATAATATAATCAATGGTAAACCAGTAAATAAAGCAAATAATGCAATTATGTACAAATCCAAGCCTAGTAATAAAATAGTTTTGATTATAAAATCATAATCAGTAAAAAAACCAAACATTTTTTTACACATATAGGTTTTATAATTATATTTAGTTAAATACCTGATATTATTAATACCTACATTTAATATTATACAATATTATGAATCAATTGATTTTTAAATTGTGGTGAATACAACCTTAAATATAAGTAAAGTTAATTTTATTGATTATAAAATAAAATATGTTTGGTCAGTATAGGTACACTGCGAACACGTTTATTATTTCGTAAATCATTGATTGGAAATTTTTTAACTTAACTTTAACTTTTTAACTAGTTAATGCCCATCTTTAGTTTAAACAAATAGTAGTTACATAGTTTATGTTTAAATTGAAAATAGTTGATCGTTTTTAGGATATACCCATGAAAAGAAACTCCTTTTGTGTACCGTTGAGTACAATTATATGCAGAACAAGATATTATAACCATTTTTTTTTTATAATATATACGTACAATTAACTTATATTTATAATTTACCAATGGTAAATTACCAATGGTAAATAACACATTTGAAATTATAACTTAATAACTCATTATTTATTACTTATCAGTTATTACGCGTCAAGTGATAATACTAGTTTTTCACATTATAAGAAAAAGTCAAGTAGTGAATCGAGTTATTTCTTATTATTCATCATTATTGTAAATTGTTTTGCCCAAACGTGACGTCATATCACTAAACATGTGGGCTACATAATTGTTCATGTACTAGTATATGATAAGGCGCGTCTATTAGTTTATATCACGAATTAAGATAGTAGATAGTAGATACTATATTAATTCTTGGTTTATATGGTCGAAGATATTAGTAACCGATTACATACATGATGTTACGAACAACTTATTTCTCGATATCGAGGAGAATTAAATATTTTATCAATGTTTCTTCCCCAAACCACGTTTTGATAACATTTTTGGTTGGTTCATTTGAAGTAAAGATTTCCCGAATACCATAAGTATAATTACTAAATCAATTTTACACTTTACAAAGTGAATGTTATTACCTATATTTTGAATATATTTATGATAACTATGATAAACTGCATGTTATGATGAATAATTAAAACGTTTAAAAAAAATGTGTGGGGCAAGATGACATGGGAAGTTGAAGATGTCGTCAACTTACATCTGTAAATTATATAAGAGTACCTATACAATTTTTAGAACAACTAATTTTAATGATGAGAAACCAAAATAATATAAATCAAATAATAATTTGTATTATTTTGTCAAATTGAACTTTCATTGTGTATACTATTTGTATGAAGCATTTTAATAAAATTAAATAAATAAATAAATTCCTTAAACATAATTTAATTAAAAGTAATATTCAATAATTTACCTTAAGTAATTAATTATAAAATGTTTAATATTATCATAGATTAAATATACAAAATATTTGTTCTATATTTCATTGATTTATCTATGTAATAATATACACCAGTCAACTTACCCGAAGTACGGGGTAAGATGACGAATTCAGAATTTTTTTTCGTAAAATTTATAAGTAATAAACCCTTTAATATTAAAGCTTGAAATTATTACAGGTTATTCTTCATAGTTAAGACAATGCTCATACAAAATTTGAAGATTTTCAGACTATTATTTAATAATGTAAATATTACTCAATCCTTAAGTTCGTCAACTTACCACACTCTACCCTAGGTACCTATAGTTCTATATTAATTAAATTATTAATAGTTATTAGGTATT